CAGCTGCCCCACCTGCCCCAGCTGCCCCACCTGCCCCACCTGCCCCACAGCTGCCCCACCTACCCCAGCTGCCCCACCTGCCCCACAGCTGCCCCACCTGCCCCAGCTGCCCCACCTGCCCCACAGCTGCCCCACCTGCCCCACCTGCCCCACAGCTGCCTGGCCCACTGAGGGGTTTTCCCCAGGACCCTCTGCCTGGGTCTCTGCACCTCGAAGCAAGAAGGGCAGCCCAGCACCAGGTGGGCTTTCAGGAGGGGCGGCAACACGGGCTTTGTTCTGGAACAGCCCGCCAGCGGCGGCCCCACGACGGGAGGTGGCAGGGCTGTTAAGGCTCTCTGTCCCCGGATGTCAGTCACTTCGCTGGGTTTCCACCATGGCCCTCCAAGTCAGCTTGTTGGCTGCGTCAGGCTAATCCTGCGCATTGAGGCTTGATGGGTTAGGGAGCGCCTGTCAGTCACTGCCGAGAGACAGCGCTGACAGCCACGGCCCGGGCCTGCATTGTGCTGGGGCTTTAGCGGTGGCTAATCGCGTGTCTTCCTTAAGAAAACATCACTTAGTCTGCCGGCCCGGAGCCCTGGATGGGACCCTGCTTGTCAGCGCACAGAAGAATGCCTTTGCGTCTTAATGGGCCTGCGGGAGCTCAGCTCACTGTGTGAAGCGTGCGCGTGAGCTTTCAGACGCCCACTTAAGATGCCAAGTGCTGGGCCCGGCCCTCCCACAAGTGCAGCTCCAGATCAGCCATGTCCCATTTAACGCATGGCTGGTGGCATGCCCGGGCTGGATCCTGTGGGTGGGGCTCACCTCTAGGCCTAGGCCTGCGAGTTTTTTGCCTTGGAGGCACCGCCAGGCCGGGAGGTCGGCTGACACCTGCTGCCTGGGCTCTGGGCAGCAGCCAGGCAGGGGGCAGTGGGCCTGTGGATTCCTTGGTCCTGGGATCAGCCCCTGCAGGCGAGCACAGAGAAAACCTGCAGTGGTCTTCGTGCTTTTGTGGTGATGGAGAGGATGCAGCTGTGTGGAGCCCCGCTGTACGCGCTGGGCCGCACTCTGTTGGGAGGGCCTCTGGCCTCCCTGCCTGCCCAGGCCACCCGGAGTGCCTGCTGCTGGTGGCCTGAGAGCCACCCACACGTCCATGTCCTCACTGGCCCCTCCAGGTGGTTTTCCCTGCGTGCGCCTTCCCAGAACGCACCGTGCACCGCACACCTGCTGTCCGTGACCTCGCTCTCCCTCGCTGTGTGGCCCATTCAGCCAGCCTGCACATCCCCTAGGAGGGACAGAAACATCTACCACACACATCCCAGGCAGCCATGGGTCCTTGGGCAGGGGTCCAGCGCAGTTCACAAGCAATGGGTGCTGCAGGCAAACAGCTGCCACAGAGCCCAGCACTGCTGCCCCGGGCCCTCTCAGGACGGGTGCTGAACTGGCAGGTGCCTGGCTGCGGATCAGGCCCAGGGGACCCTTTCAGGACCGGGGCTGAAATGGCAGGCAGCTGGCTGCGGGTCAGGCCCAGGGGGCCCTCTCAGGACCGGTACTGAAGTGGCAGGTGCCTGGCTGCGGATCAGGCCCAGGGGACCCTGCAGGCACTGGCCATGCCCACACCCCACTACTCTGATGGGACTCCGGCCCAGAGCCCCACCCAGGCTGCTGCACAGCCAGGGCAGGAACCAGGGCCCGGCAGGGCAATGTGGGCGAAGCGGCCACTCTCCCTGGCTCCCTTGCCAAGCTCGGGACCCGTGTGCTGGGCCAGTGGTGGTTTTGATCCTGTGTTTCCCTGCGGATGGCCTGGGAGTATGGGATGGAGCCAGAGCAGGGTGCTCGCCACCTGGCCCCGGGGCCGCCTTCCCGCTGCCTTCACATGTTTTTATGGTGCAATGAAAATATGATTTTAATTCCTCAGATGGTTCTGTGTAACCTGCACTTACCCCCGGCGACATCCTGCACGCTTCTGCTGTGGCACTGGATTTCGCAAAGATGGGGGGAGGAGTAGGCGGGGCGCTGCCCCAGCCGGGCAGAGTGGCCCTTCTCTGCCGCACCCTCCACTCTGACATGGGGCAGTGTCACCCTCTCCTGCTCCCAGCACCCTTCCCCAGGCCCCCTGGGTGGTCCACATGCAGGGGTGGGGACACACAGTTATGGAGGACTTCGAGGGCCAAAGCAGGGCAGCAGGGGAGGGCAGGGCCTGGCAGGGCTCTGAGGAGTAGGCAGGGGGTGCAGCAGGGGTCATCAGCTCAAGGGGAGGAGCTGACCAAGATGCTCAGACCACAGCCCCCCTCTCTGAGCACGCTGCAGCCTTGCTGGGTCCCAGCCTCACTTGGCAGCCATCGGATGCCTCAGCCCTGCTCTCCTGGCCGTGAGGTGACCTTAGTGCCAGCTGGGCCCTCAGGCGGAGCTGCCCTTGTGAGATCAGCGGCATCAGGTGGGGCTGCATTTGAGATCACCTGTCTCCTGGCCTCAGGTTTGGCCTCCTCCCACGGGGTCTTGGCACATGAGCTCGCTCAGCTGACACCTGCTCGCCTCACCTGACCCACGGCCACTCCAGCCCCAGTGCAGCAGCTCCAGGTGCTGCCAGTGCCTGGGCCCTGGCCCCCTCCCCAGGTTGGAGCAGGCCCCAGGGCAGGCCTGAGGCCCCCACCTACCCCTCACCCACTGGGCAAGAACTGGAAGTGACCAGGACCTTGCATGAGGGATGCCCTGAGGTGGCTGGGCAGTGTGCTCATGAGGCTCCAGGTGTGTGGGCCACCTCGGGTTCAGGCTCCACCTAGTGGCGTCACTGCCCTATGCTCACGTCTCTCCCCAAGACAGCAGGTTGGCACCTGGCTCCAGTGGGTGGCATTGTGAGAGGTGTGTTGGTGTCTGCATTGGGCTGGTGGGTGGGGACCACTTTTGCCTCCCAGAGCTCAGCTGCCCGAGCCTCCTGGTCCTGGACCCAGGCTGCTCCCCCACCCCGTGTCCCTCTGGGAGCCACTTACCCTCCCCAGGGTCCCTGGGTGCCCCTGCCCTGGGCAAGAGCTCCTCCGCCCAGCCTGATGAGACCTGCTGGCCTCTGCCCACCTGCCCGCCCTTACTCATTGCCACTTCCTGCCCTTGGAGGGTCCATGAGGGCCGGTGTGGGTCAGTCATTGCCAGACACGGGGATCCCTACCCTCTGGAGTAGGAAGCAGCAGGGGTCTGCACCCAAAGCCAGTGGTTCAGCACCGGTGGCCAGGGCAGGTGGTGCAGCCCCTGCAGGTCTCAAGGCCTGGGCACAGGGTCCACTGAGGCAGAGCATGTTCCTCCATGGGCCCAACCCCAGCCCCATCAGGAAGCATCTCCCTCTGAACTGCTTCTCTATCCAGATGGGCCTGGGCCAGGTCTTGCTCCTGGGCAGTAGAGGAGGATGCCCTCTTCTTGCCCCAGATGCACAGGCTCTGGGGGCCTTGGCCCAACTCACATCGGGTGGAGACTAGAATGGGGATATGGTGGGGTGCTGTCCCTCTCTACAGCCCAGGTACCCCCACCTGGGACTGCTCCAGCAGAGCCTGGACGTGGTCCTGCAGGAGGGCCTCCCCATGCCACCAGGGACCCAACAGCTCATCCACCCAGCTCCCTGGCCTCTACCTTTGCCTGCTCGGCCAGGCTGGGGAGCCAGTTGCCGAGAGAGGTTTCCATAGAGTCCCAGGCAGCAGCCCACGCCCATCCTGGTATGGCCACTGGCACGGAATACCCCTCCCATGGGCCCCGAGGCTGAGTCCTTGGGCTAGCCCCCCTCTACCTCCCTGGCCCGCCCCTCCCTAGCCCTCCCAGTGGAAGCCCAGAGCTCAACAGGGCCTGGCACAGGAGCGTTCTATATCCAGCCTGGACTCCTTCCTCTGCCACCGTCTTCAAGCTGGGCTCTCTGTCCAGGTGCTTCGTGGCCCTGGGAGCTGTCTGAGGTCCTTCCTGTACCAGGCAGGTGCATAAATAAATAAACAGGTACACGCTAGCGTCCTGGCTGCCACCCTAAGGAGAAAGCAGGCAGGGAGTAACTGGTTCCATGTTCCCCATGCCCCTCTGCACCCGGGCTTGGGGGGCTCCCTGCTGTGCTCAGGGCTCCTGGGCTGTGCTCTTCCAGGCAGAGTCCAGTGCTCCAGTGCTGTGCAGATCTCAGCTCTGCTTTGCCCCTGCCCAGACCAGCATCCTAGCTCCCACGGGCCGGCTGTGGGGAGCTAAGCTGCAGGTGCTTCCTCTGATGGGCTAGTGAAGGAAGGAGCTCAGAGCAGGGGGCAGGTGGGCAAGGACCTGTCCAGCCACAACCTGGAGTGTTCGACCAGGGAAATAACTGGACAGAAGATTCTTTAACAGGCAAGAACTGCCACGAGACTGATAACCCAGGAAATGGATGTGAGGCGGCCCTGACGGGGATCTGGGAGGCAGAGCTTGGGAGGCATGGGATCCCGGGCTGCCACACCTGGCCACTCCTTGGGCCTCACCTGCAGCAGCTCCCCAAGCATCAGCCACAGGGCCCTCCTCCAAGCCTGGCAGGCATGGCTGGCATCATCGCTTTCTGTTCCCAGAATCCACCATGCAGGGTGAAGGCTGGCCAAGGGTTGAGGACTTGCCACAGACACCCTGCGCTCCCTCAGGCGGTGACAGCACCCAGCTCGGGCTGGTACTACACATTGTCAGGGAACATGGGCGACAGCAGCCAAGACTGCCTGCGCCGGCCAGGAGTGGAGGATTGGGGTGGCACGCCCTCCCACG